CCCTCCTTGGGGATCTCCTGCCCTTTAAGCCATTTGCATCCTAAGGCCAGTAACTGTCAAGGGGTGGGGCAGGGCTGTGGCCAACTGTGGTGGACGCTGTCCAGAGCTAGCTCTGCTGGCTAAGGTTGGAGGAATTTTCCAGCACAGAAGGGGAAGCCAAGCTCTAAGTCCCTCTTACCCCCATGCCATCTCTTATCTACATCTTCCTGACCGATTCCTTCCCTCCTCCCCCAACCCCAACCAAGACTTACCAGCCAATGGCTTCAGCGGTGGAAACCAGCCAGTGAAGAAGAGTTTCTTGGTGTACCGTAATGACTGCAGCCTTCCCCGGAGCAGCTCAGACTCGGAGTCCAGCAGCAGTAGCAGCAGCAGTGCTGCCTCAGACCGGACCAGGTACCGGCCCTCCAGATCAAGGCCTGCCTCTGGGATGCCCTTCCTGTTTTCCCTATGGGAAGTGGGGTAACAGCCATCTCAGCCTAGATTAAGATGGCTCAAACCCAAGGTTTTCTGCAAAATAAATGGAATAGATGAGAATGTCACCATAATGGAACTGGGGGAACCATCCTGGGTTAAGCTGATGTTTTAGAGCAGAGGGCATAAACTGATGCTTTGTGGCCTGCATTTGGCCTGCAGACATATTTTTTTTTGGTTATCCCAGTTTCTGGTTTCTCTAAAAATCAGATCTGGCAAATCAGGCCAGTATTGCCTTTAGACAGGGCAGGCACTTACCACCACCACTGCTAAATCCAGCCCACATCACTCAAATCACCACTAAGCCCCTGAAGGTGTTTGAGTTGGAAATTCTTCAAGTAGACTTTGCTTTCCAAAAGTCTTAGACCCTGGGGGCTTAAAGAAGAGAGGACACCCACCATGCCATTCTCTACTCTTCCCCTCCTTTGAGCTGAGCTCTCATTGTCTTGTCCACAGCACAACACCCTCAAAACAAGGCCGGGGCAAGCCCTCCTTCTCTCGGGGCACGTTCCCCGAAGACAGCAGTGAAGATACCTCAGGCACTGAAAACGAGGCCTACTCCGTGGGCACTGGCCGCGGCGTGGGCCACAGCAGTAAGTACCCTTGCCCAAGGCCTGGGATGCAGGGGGCCCAGTGTCAGGGCCTTGCAAGCCCCCTGGCTGCTGATCCACCTCCTCTCTCCCATTCTTGTGAAGTGGTAAGGAAGAGTTTGGGCCGGGGAGCTGGCTGGCTGTCGGAGGATGAGGACTCCCCCCTGGATGCTCTGGACCTGGTGTGGGCCAAATGTCGAGGGTATCCTTCGTACCCAGCTCTGGTAGGCTTCTGCTTTTCTCGTCATACCCCTTACTTTCCAACTCCAGAACACAGACTCACAATTAGCAGACTTCCTACTCTCTGCTGAGCTGCAGAGTACACAAGGGTCTTTGGCAGATAGACACTTAAAGGTCCCTGGGTTAGTTTCTCTATCTCTCCCTTTTCCTTCCCTTTGCCCCTTGGGCTCTGAAATAGTTCAGCATGAGAAGAAGCCAAAGGTCAGCATTGCAGCCCTAGTAGCATAACCTTTTCTCTGTCCCCTCTTCAGAGGTAGTCTCCAAATTCTTGGGTAGGGTAAGCCTTGGGGAAGGGGACTGAACCAAACCAAGGTCTTATTACACCCTCAGATCATTGATCCAAAGATGCCCCGGGAAGGTATATTCCACCATGGGGTTCCCATCCCCGTGCCCCCACTGGAGGTGCTGAAACTTGGGGAGCAGATGACCCAGGAAGCCCGAGAGCATCTCTACCTCGTCCTCTTCTTTGACAACAAGCGAACCTGGTAAGCGAGAGGGGGAGCATTTTTTGTGACTCACAGCCACAGATGCAAGCCTGGGTACAGGGACAGGCTGCCAGGAAACTCCAGCAATAAACAGACAGACTGGGCTATCACAAATCAGTAGGGGAGGGAGCAAAAGGGTTGAGTTGACCATGTGTCTGAGAGACTGGGTGGGCAGCAGCTGACAAACAGCTGTAGCTAGCAACCAAAGGACCATCAGTGACTGTGACACATGTGGGGGTGGCTCCCCATCCAGACTCAGGTAGCTTCTAGACTTAGTTTTCCACCTCTGCCTCCATGGTGACAAGATGAGGATAAAGCAGGCATAAACATTCAGGCTCGGAATCCCTGTTCTGTTACATTTACACATGTAGTCTTTTTGTTAATTGTCTGCGGAGGATACTTAATGTCAGTCAAGTCAGCCTGGAGCCTATGCGATAGGGTACCTACTTCAGGTTAGGTCAGGGCTCCTCCTTTTTGCACCCATAACTACCTTGTGGTTATTTACCCCTCAGTGTGACTGTTGACTGGGCTCTTTTCATCACTAGACTGGGAACAGCCTTGAGAGCAAGGACTGCGTCTCCTTGGTCTCTGTAACCTCAGTGCCCATGAGAGCCTGGCCCAGAGTAGGCGCTCATTCATTTTTGAATGAATGAAGGAGTGAGGAAGGATGGTGCTTGCTGCTCTCCCAGAAATGACTTATTTGATCCTCACCTCATCCTACAGGCAGTGGCTGCCCAGGACTAAGCTGGTTCCTCTGGGCGTGAACCAGGACCTCGACAAGGAGAAGATGCTGGAAGGCCGCAAGTCCAACATCCGCAAGTCAGTGCAGATCGCTTACCACAGGGCTCTGCAGCACCGCAGTAAGGTGCAGGGGGAGCAGAGCAGCGAGACCAGCGATAGTGACTGATACTGCCCAGCACAGCCCAGCCTACAGTGCCCTGCCACCTCTCTCCTCCCCTTTGCTCACTGTCCTGGAGTGGCACCGGCCTCTGCACTGACTCATTCCTGGTCTTGGGGCCAGTCTCAGGGGAAGCTGGGTGGGGGAGGTCCCTCCCGCCCTGAGTGCAGCTGGACTGTACAGAACACTCCAAGGGCCCATGGTGGCTCTGTGCAAGGAGAAGGGAGGCCAGAAAGTTCCAGAGACCTCACAGCATTGTAGTGCAGGGTGGTGGGCCAAGGTTAGGACACTGCATAAAACAGGCCATCGCACCACCTCTGCTTGCTCATGCCAGGAGATTCTGTAACTGCCTAGTGGCCTGAGGCCCCTGCAGGTGGTGAGGTGAGCGGGCGTCTGCCCAGCCTAGCAGTGGGATTGATGACTGTCCAGCCCGGAAGAGGGGCACTAGGTGACCCCCTCCCCTGCTGTTGTAAATACTGTAATTAGCGGAGAATTTAAATTATTCTCATTTGTAACTGCGTTTCCGGGTCGCGCCAGAGTCATTTGGTACTAAAAAAAAGACTGGGGCCTGTCCCCACTTCCCTTCTTCCCATAGATTCCCCTACCTTTCAAACTGGTTTGTATTTATTTCAAAGGAAGAAAATATATTGATTCTTAGAAAATAAATGGTCTATTTGGAATTCTTGGTTCTTGCCTTCTGCCAGGGCAAAGGGAGGTTCTGTCCCCCAGGGATAGTAAATAATTGGGCCCACGAGGTTGCTGGCTGCTGTGCATGCTGCATTTGTAAGACATCAGCAAATATGACAGCTCCCATTCCCCATGCACTTAACTGAGTGGTAGGCCCTGTGCTAAGCACCTTTAGATACAGTTTCATGTAATTCTTGCAATAATTATGGGGAAGCTTAATAATAGGGTGGTTATCTCCACAGAGACACTGAGGTTTAGAAAAATTAACTTGCCTAAGTTCCCACAACTAGGAAGTTGCAGAGCTAGGATTTGAACTCAGGTCTGTCTGTCTGCAAAGCTGGCTCTTTAACCAGTATGCTGAACTGTTGGAGAAAGAGGCCACTGTCCATTCCTTCGTGAACTTCAGATGCTTCAACTCCTTTCCCAGTAGAATGGTTCAAGTGCCTCAGAGTCACTATAGCTGTGACCTTCCCCTCTTTAACTGCCAACAGAGCAGGAACCTAGAGGGTTGCTCTTCATTCATTCCCAACCTTGGCACCTTCTTTTCCGACTCAAACAACATTTATTGGAATGCCTTCCAAGTGCTAGGGCGCCTGTGGGTGGGCATGCCTATAGATGAGACAATAACAGGAAGCAGCTGCCCAGGAGGCTTGCAGCTACCAAGGAGTGGAACTGAGACAGTATTTTTGTCTGATGATCCTATGCTCGTGGTACTCCCTGCTGGGTAGGTACTGTGGGTGGGACACAGATAAATCAGCTGCAGATCTTGCCCGTAAGGAATCTGCAGTCTAATCACTCAGATACAGCAACCAAAAATCACTGCTAGAAGGTGAAAAATCGCCCAGATAAAGTTCATGTCTCCTAGCTCCTTGCTTTTTGTGTCTTTCTCCAGAAGGGGAGAAATTACATAATGCATCCTTCCTGGGCCCAGGCAGCCGGCCCTGGCAACTAGGCTAGGCAGATAGGCTGCCTCAGGGCCACACACAAACTTGTCCTTGGATTCCGAGTTGCCTCTCTGGGCCGCTGGGCCCAGTCCCAGAGAAAGCTCCCGCTCAGGCCGCACTGGGCGCCGGACTGTGAGATGCAGGGTAGTGCTGAAGGAATGCCGAGACTGAGGGAGCGCTGGGGCCGCCGGCGGGCTGCGGCCGAGGCGGGACAACCCGGAGAGGCCTCGGCCGGAGCGAAGTCTGTGAGGAGGCCTAAGGCTGCGGAGCCGCGGTCAGTGAGGCTTGGAGGGGGCGGCTCGGCGGGCGAGCGCGAAGACAGAATCCTCAGGAGACAGACGCGGTGGAGACGCCTCCCGCGGGCTCAGAGGGGCCGGAGCAGTGTTGGGGTCCGAGTGTCGGTGAAGACGGGGTTCGTGGGAGGCGGCCCGAGAGCGCGACTAGCAGACTGTCTGGAGAGCTCGGTGGAGAAAGGCTCTCTGAGGCCGGCGGGGAGAGGATGTGGCACTGCGGCCAAGCCCTGAGGAATCCCAGGGCTCTGAGGACATCAGGTAGTGAGAACTGGGGCCTGAGGGCGCACTCTGCGCCCGGTCCGCGGGGCGCGGGCACGGAACACCGGCGCGCCGAACGCAGACAACCCTAAAGGCCAGGCCAAGAGCGGGCGCCGAGCCCAGCACGCGCCAACCGCTGCGGCGCCTCAGACAGGCCCGCCTACCCGCCGCCACGCCTGATTCTCATTGGCGCCTCTTACTTCGCGGATTGGCTCCCTCTGGATCCAATAAGCCGGCTTGAGCCCTACTTCCGGTGAGAGCGAGGTCTTCCCCGGAGGAGTCGGAAGAGTGCGCTTGCGCGCGCGTCCCAAAATCGCCGCCGTGCGTGGGACAGTGGGGAGGGGGCTTGGGGAGCGGGGAAGGAAACGCCAGGAGAAAGGGCGGGAGAGTTGGGGCAGGAGGTGGGACGGAGTGGGAGGGGCGGGGCCTGTGGGGAGTTGAGGAATTAAATAAAACTGGGCGGGTCTTAGATAAACAGATTAAGAGGCCAGGACTGGTGGACGAGACCCTAAGGGGCGTGGTCTTTTGGCGGCGAGTAAATGGCCGGGGCCATTGTGGGGCGGAGCCTGATATGGAAACGGTAGCATGGGGCATCGTACTCTAGCCTCCATCCCGGCCTTGTGGGCCTCCATCCCCTGTCCACGCTCTGAGCTGCGCCTGGACCTGGTTCTGGCTCCTGGGCAGTCCTTCCGGTGAGTGATCCTGGCTCCTCAGCACTGCAGGCCTGGGGTGCAAAAGAATGTTGGGGGTGATGGGAAAAAACTCAGGGTACAAAAGAGTAAACTGAGGCACGGGTGGTGAGCCTGTTACCTCCTTTATAAAGTGGATGTAATAACCCTGTATAGTGTTGTTATCAGGATTAGACGATATAATTGATGTGAAAGAAAGCACTTTTACTTTGCAATTCGTAAATCAGTTTTGTGTGTGGAGCAGTTGTAGGATGGGAGGGCCCCAAAGGGTGCAGGAAGGGAAACTGAGTACTAGGGCTGCCGTGTGCCTGGGGGCTCAGGTGGAGGGAGCAAAGCCCTGCGCACTGGAGTGGCGTGCTGGCGGACCAGGTATGGACGCTGACCCAGACTGAGGAGCAGCTCTACTGCACTGTGTACCGAGGGGACAAGAGCCAGGTTGGCAAGCCCACACTAGAGGAGCTAAAGGCCGTGCGCCAGTACTTCCAGCTGGATGTCAGCCTGGCTCAACTGTATCGCCACTGGAGTTCTGTGGACCCACACTTCCAAGAGGTGGCTCAGAAATTCCAAGGTGAGTATAGGGCCTAGGGCAGGGATTGGGGTTTTGTATTTTGGTTAAGTTACTCAGTTTCACCATCTGTAAATTGGGGATTATATCTACCTCATAGGGTTTTATGAAGATTAAAGAAGCTAATACACGTAAAGTGCTCAGAATAGTACACATTATTATTACTATTATTATTGTCCTGCTGATCACCGTAGTGGAGGGACAAGGATATTGAGCCAAATCCTGGCTGTGTGACCTGGGGCAGGTGATGTCATTTATTCTGTAAATATCTACAGAGCATTTGCTGTGTGACTGGGGATACAGCAGTGAACAAAACGGACACAAATCCCCTGTTCATAGTGCTTACATTGTGGCTTCTTTATCTATGGAATGGGATGATAACCCAGACCTCACAAGATGCGGTGAAGAATGAGAGCTCTGGTGTTGCTTTCTCTAACACTGTTCCTCATTCCCCTGGGCTCCCCCTGGAGCCTTGCTGCCTAGGATCTAAGGGTGGGAAGAGGCCACTCCTGACAGCAGGTGCATCTACCTCCTGCCTTTCTGATTCCCAGGTGTGCGACTCCTGCAGCAGGACCCCATCGAGTGCCTTTTCTCCTTCATCTGTTCCTCTAACAACAACATTGCCCGCATCGCTGGCATGGTGGAGCGGCTCTGCCAGGCCTTTGGACCTCGGCTCATCCAGCTCGATGATGTCGCCTATCATGGCTTCCCCAGCCTGCAGGCGCTGGCTGGTAAGTAGGTGGGTCCCTGCCCCTAGGCCCTCCAACAGCTTTCAGGTCTGTTCAGTTCTCCCCCTAGTCCCCATTTCCCATCTCAAAGCTTCCTGCCTTCCCAAACACTGCCCTTGTCCAAAACCACCCTGCCTGGTCGGATCAGTCCCAGTTACACCTTATCCTCTCTATCTGTCCCTGAAATGTCAGCACCTTTCTAGTCTGTGCTTTTAGCCTCATGCGTTCAATGCCTCATCAGCACAACAGCTGTATACAGTGCGTGGTAGTCTGGGGTTAAAAGCATGCATTCTGGAGACAGACTGCCTGGATCTGAATCCCAACTCTGACACTTGACTTCAAACTATATGACCTTGAGCACATTATTTAGCCTCTCTGTCTGTAGAATGGGATAATAATAGCATCTGCCTATCCGAGTTGTCACGAGGGTTGAATAAAGGAATACACATACTGCACCTAGCGCAGTGTTTGGCATTTGGGAAGTATGCTGAAAATTCAGGTTGCTGTCTCTGTGGTGAATCTAACAATTTTGCATCCAAGAACATACGTGTTCTTCACAGCAGCCCTGCGAGGCAAGTATATCAGTTGGCAGATGTGAGAACCAAGCTAGGGGAAGTGCTTGGGGACTGTATAGCAAGGAGCCAGCCCGCCTGGAGAAAAAAGACTGTTTTTGGTGCTTAGAAACCCAGTCTTAGGTCTGAGTTCCCAGCTTAGTAGTCATAAGACCTCAAGAAATTCATTCACTTCTCCAAGCTTCTCTTAATTTGTTTGTAGAATGGGAATAACAGTTTCTATCTAGATCTAGAACTTTGAGGGTTGACTAAAGCATCATGAGGCAGGGTACTGTGTTGGGTTAAGAGCACAGGCGGTGGTGTCCCAGACCTGGGTGCAAGATCCCATCTCCACCATGTCCTTTCTTGAGCAGGTTACCTAACCTCTTCTAAGCCCTCATTTTCTCCATCTGTAAAATGGGAAAGACAACAGTACTGTCATCAGGGTCCTTGAGAAAAGTAAGCATGATAATGTACCTAAAGCACTTCACCTGTGCATGATACCCAGCACTTGATAATAGAAGCCATTGTGTTATTATGCTGTCATTATGGTTATTATGTTAGATCATGGGTGTGAATGCCCTTTGGAAAGGTTAAGGAACTCAATTAGGGAGTTCCTCCAGGGCAGCAAGTCCTTCTCAGTGCCTGCTCTAGTGCCCAACACATAGTAGGTGCTCAGAAAGCATTTTTAGAGGGGCAGAACCCAGGCCTTAACCCGTTCCTTTGCACATGCAAGTGTCTGCTGTCTCCCAGAGGGTGGTGAGGTGGGAGAGGGGTGCTTAGGAAAAGCATTCCTATGGGGCAGAGGGCTCACAACACTAGCCCAAGGACAGGAAGGATTTGAGGATGCCTGACCCCTGCTCCCCTCCCCACCCCACCCTACCCCCACAGGGCCAGAGGTGGAGGCTCAGCTCAGGAAGCTGGGCCTGGGATACCGTGCCCGCTACGTGAATGCCAGTGCCCGAGCCATCCTGGAAGAACAGGGCGGGCTGCCCTGGCTGCAGCAGCTGCGCAAGGCCCCCTATGAGGAGGCCCACAAGGCCCTCTGCAACCTGCCCGGGGTGGGCACCAAGGTGAGGCCCCAGGGGGGTAGAAGCTAACCTCACCACCCACTCAGAGAATAGCAGAATAGGAGATGAGGCAGGCTTAAGAGATGGGTGCAGGCTTGGTTTCTGGAGGCAGAGCAGGAAGGAGAAAGGATACAAGAGGATGTTTTATTAGAGAAAACGCAGAGTGCATGAAGGGTATAAAGGACATCGCCTTTTGAATGCATTTTTAGAAAGGCCATTTGTTCAGGTACATACATATATACTGCTACATGTATGCAGAAATTTCCAGAAGGAATCACAGGAAACTTAATAGTGGTTGCCTTTACAACGGGAAGATGTTTCTACTTTTCATTTTGTTCTTTTGAAATTATATATACTTATAAAACTTGTTGTTTAATGTTAATAGGTTTAGCTAGCAGTAAGATGATTGGGAATTTGGCATTTATTGTTTTCTTCTTTATACTCTTCTGTAGTATAAAAAATGAATTTTTGTTTAAAAAACTTTTTTTAATGGGCTCTGAACTCCAGGCTAACATTAAACTTGGTTCTGCCTCTTCCTAGCCATGGAACTTTGCCAAGTCACTTCACCTTTCCGAGCCTCAATTTTCTTGTGTGCAAAATGGATACAGTGCTACCTCCTTCCCGGGTTATGATGAGAACCTGGCCCACATAGATGTGCATGCATCTTTTTAAAGCTATTTTTAAAGTTATTAATAGATGGTATATATTGATTGAGAATATAGAATAATAGTAACCTCAGAGTGGAGGAGGAAGCAGCTGGCTTTGGGGCGAGAAGCAGGATGCTGGCTGGATCCTGCCATTCCTCCTCTGTGGCTCACTCTGTGTCTGTCACAGGTGGCTGACTGTATCTGCTTGATGGCCCTAGACAAGCCCCAGGCTGTGCCGGTGGACGTACATGTGTGGCAGATTGCCCAGCGTGACTACAGCTGGCATCCCACCACGACCCAGGCCAAGGGTCCGAGCCCCCAGGCCAACAAGGAACTGGGTAAGGAGAGAGAGTGGGATGCGGGGCTGGCAGTGGGCTAAGGTGGTGGAAACTTCTCACACCTCTCCCTAAAACTCTACCCCTGTGGATGGGGAGCAGGAAGGACCAGTTAATTTTGCCTTATCACTTCTGGTTTAGGAAACTTTTTCCGGAGCCTGTGGGGACCTTATGCTGGCTGGGCACAAGCAGTGAGTGTACTTAGGCTTCCCCTCCTCCTCCAGCCCAGACCCCAGAGAACTCCTCCCGTAGCCCTGACCCAGTGGACTCTTCCACCACCACCGCTGCCCCAGGTAACACTAAAGGACTCTCCACCCACCCCAACCCTGACTCCAGTGGAGTCTCATTGCCCTGGCCCAGCTCCCCATGAACTCTTCTACCTCCCCACACTGCCACCAGCCCCACCGGCCCTGCTGCCTGTGTACCCTCTCCCCACACAAACTCCTCCCCTGCCCCCAGGTGCTGTTCAGTGCTGACCTGCGCCAACCCCAGCGAGCTCAGGAGCCACCAGCAAAGCGCAGGAAGAGATCCACAGGGCCAGAAAGCTAGGCGGGGGCCAATGAACAAAGGGATTCCCCAACCACCTTTCCCCTCCATTGCCCCCCTCCCCCATCCAGCCTCATGTTGGGAAGGGGACTCCCTGCAACTACCTCAGAGCCAGGCACCCTCAAATCAAGCAGTTAGCACAACATTGTGGGGTGGGGGTTATTTGGGAGACAGAGCTACCTATGGTTTTATTCTCTTCCCTTTATTACAAGAAAGAAACAATAAAATAGAAACATTTGTATGGAAAATACAGTGGAGTGGTAGGGAAATGGGTGGGGCAGGGTAACTTCCCAGTTCAGGGAGGGAAGGGGAGCAGGCTGCCCCCAACCCCTCTCATGCAAGGGATCCTGAGCCTGGATTCAGGGCCCTAGAGCTGAGAGGGCAGTGAGGGGGACAGCTCTGGGCCTGGCTCCACGAAGCAGTCTCGACAGCAGCAACCAGCCGCTGGCCCTACATGGAAAGAGAGAACAGAGTTGGCCGTATGAGCAGATCCTCCATTCCAGCCTGGGTGCCTCTGCATGGACCACCCATGCCCTTCCACAGAGCCCTGGTCCTCACCCCCAGCTGCTGGGGTCAGCAGCTCCCCGTGGCTCCCCGTCTGTCCCTGCCCCTCCTGGCTGGTGCCCAGCTGTAGCTTCCTCATGTGCCGCACCACGGCCGTAGCATTGAAGGCTTGCTGTGGGGAGAGCGGGGAGAAGGGACTTTTGAGAGTAGGAGATCATGGGGCAGGGTCTGGCAGTGGGATTCTTGCAGTGGTTCTGTTATTTTCATTCAGTTGTTATTGATTGATCCCCTGAAACCTCTACAAGGCTTTATTAAATTATATTCAGCCATATTACATATTTACACACAAATACATGCACAGATATAAAATCTATATATCAGATGTATATAACTTGTTATATAATTAACTCATATTCATATTACAATAGCTTACACTCAATATAGCATTATGTGTCAGGCACTGTTCTAAGCCCTTTACATAGTAATTCATTTAATCTTCACAAAAGTCTTTGAGGTGGGCACTATTAGTGTCACCATTATCAAAGGAGGAAACTGAGGCACAGAGAGGTTAAAATACCTTGCCTGAGTGTGTCTGTATCATTCTCTGTTCAACATATCCACCAAGATGTCCCACACACCCCTCAAATTCACCATGTTCCAAACCAAAATCATCCCCCCAAGACAAGTTTCTGCCCCTGGGATCTCCATCTCAGTGACAGTACCACTGTCCACCTTGTCCCCAATCAAAATCTTGGGCCAGCCCTCGACATCTCTTCTGTCCCCCAACATCCATTCCACGATCACTCCTTGTTGGCTCCACCTCCTAAACGACCAACCACTGTTCTGTGTTCCTGTTGCCACTGCTCTGGTCCAAGCCCTCACCCTCTCCTGCCTGCATCTTTGCCACAGCCTCCTCAGGGGTCTTCCAGTCTTCACTCTGGGCCTCTGTGTGAATCCTGAGAGCCCTTTCTAAAGGAGAAATTCCTGCTGAAAATCCTTCTGGGGCTCCTCAGTGCCCTCAGGATCAAGTCAGTGCTCCACTGTGGCGTTTGAGGCCCTGAGCAGCCTGGCCCCTACCTGCACCTCCAGCCTGGGCTCCTGCCCTGCAGCTCCCACAGCCCCTCCAGTCCAGCCAGGCTTAGCACTTGCACTTCCCTGGATGGCCACACTCTCTCTCGGCCCTGGTCCTTTGCACACCAGTTCCCTCTGCCTCACACGTTATTCTGCTGTGCCTGGCTAATTCCTATCAGCTGTCAAGTCTGACAGGTCTCTCAGGCAATTACCATCTTGATGCTCCTTCCAGGACCCTGTAGGTCGGATTAGATGTCTCCTTAAGAATTATGCACTGTTTGGGGCCAGCTCCGTGGCTTGGTGGTTAAGTGTACGTGCTCTGCTATGGGCGGCCCGGGTTCGGATCCCGGGCGCACACCGACACACCACTTGTCCGGCCATGCTGAGGCGGCGTCCCACAGACAGCAACTGGAAGGATGTGCAACTATGACATACAACTATCTACTGGGGCTTTGGGGAGAAAAAGGGAAGAAAGGGAGGAGGATTGGCAATAGATGTTAGCTCAGGGCCAGTCTTCCTCAGCAAAAAGAGGAGGATTGGCATGGATGTTAGCTCAGACCTGATCTTCCTCAAAAAAAAAAAAAAAAAGAATTATACACTGTTCTCCCTCTAGAATTGGAGGTCAGGTACCTCCTGGAATAGAGTAGGTGTCAGGGAGCATTGAATGAATCAATCAATCAATCAATGAGTGAATGAGGTTCTTCAGTAAGCATCCCTGAGCAGTTACTGTGTGCCCGACTTGGTGCCAGGTGCTGTGCGAGCTGAGGCCTGGATGGGGGTGGGGAGGAGTCCTGGGGAGGCTGGGACCCAGGACTAGGGTTGTACGCTCACCTTCCACTTGCTCTTGGCAAAGTTCTTCTTGATCTGCTCACTCACTGACTGGTGAATATTCTTATCTAGAGCCGTATCTCCTGCAATCCTAGGATGGGGGTGTGTGGAGGGTTATCTATGAAGGCAGAGGCAGGCCTGGGGGCCCCAGACCGCCCCCACCCAGTCCACAGCTTTTAGGAGCTCTCACCATGGGTGCTGCAAGGCCTGCTCACAGGTGAACCTCTTCTCTGGATCCTTCTCCATCAAGTGCCGGATGAAGTCTTTAGCTGAACCCCCGAGACAAGAACAAAGACAGAGAAACAGCATGGCGGTGCCTGTGGACACCCCCAAGACAGAACCCACCCCCTCAGGTCTGGCCTGGCATCCAAGCAAGACAAGGGGCCAGATCTGTCCATGTACTACCCTCCCACCTGTATTCTTTCTCTAAGTCCCCCACCCACCCCAGCCTTCCAGCTCTCTCCTTTTTTCCTTAAGAAAAAGTTGTTCTTAGAGAAGATTCTACACAGTGTATTTATACTGATGTGTAAATGATTGATAATGGCTTCACAGGTTTGCCTCCTAATAGGAGACACAAAAGTCAGATGAAAAGTTTTATGGTGATGTTTTAGGCATTAGGAAATCAGTGAGGGAGGTATTTTCAAAAGTACTATGTTTGAAGACAGAATGAATGAATGCCTACAGGTTTCTCAGACCAGGGCCAGGCAGAGGGCAGCATCTGGGGTGTGGGGTCTGGTCTCAAGACAGCTCTTAGTCTGGGGCTGGGGAACCTGACCAAAGGAAGGCAGTGAGGAGACCCCCCAAGGCAGATGAGGAAGGCACCAGAGGCAGGGCCCAGGGGAAGAAGGCAAAGCCCCAAATACCAGAGTCAGAGATGTCGTCCCAGTAAGGAGAGTCAAACTCGTACTCGGCCTTCAATATCTGTTCAAAGAGTTTGGCATCATTCTCGTCATAGAAGGGGGGGTAACCGCAGAGCCTGGGCAGGGAGAAACTCATCCTCATTTCCACTTTCAGTGCACCCACTGGCTCCAGGATGGAGCTTTGGGGCAGTCCCAGGGGTCAGGCAGGACCCACAGGAAGGAGTTCCCCCTTTTACGAAGGTGGGGATATCTACCCTTTTCTGCCTTGTTCACCCTGCCCAGCTATGGTGGCCTTTCTGTTCCTTAACATGCTGCCATCTTTCCTTCCTTAGGGCCTTTGCATTTGCTGTTCCCTCTGCCTAAACCCTTCTTCCCTCCACACCTCAAATATCTGGCTCCCTCACTTCATTCAGGATGCCACTCAAATGTCACCACCTCAGAGAGGCCTTCCCTGACCTTATCTAAAATGGCATCCATCCCCTTCTCGCTACCCTGCTTGATTTTTCTTCATGGCATTTTTTTACCACTGGACATTATTTTATAGATTTATCTACTTGTTGTTTACTTGTTTATTTACTTGTCTGTCTCCTCTACCAGAGTGTCTGCCCCTTAAGGGCAGGCACTTTGTCCATTTTGTTCTCTGCTAAATCCCCAGTGCTTGGCACAGTGCCTGAAACATAGTATCTATTGAATGAAGTAATATTAGTCATTAATTGGTAGATAAAAATATGAATGACAGGAAGGAAGAAATAGCAGAGGGGAGGAAAACAGGAGAGGAAGGGAGAGAACTCTGGAGCCACATGCCTCAATGGCCAAGCCCCGACTCACAGGATGTAGGCGATGACACCAATGGACCAGCAATCCACTGCCTTGCTGTAGGGCTTCTGGGCCAGGACCTCAGGGGCTATGGAGAGAACGGGACACGGTAGTGACGAATCTCTGCCCTGCAGCTCCTAGTTCCTTCCCAACCCACAGCCCCAGCCCAGGGCCCTCCGCACCCACGTATCCTGGGGTCCCACAGGCCGTGGAGAGCACACTCCCGGGGTCCTCCATCTTGGAGAGGCCAAAGTCGGAGATCATGATCTTGGAGTCTTCATCCAGGCTGTAGTAGAGGAGATTCTCTGGCTAGGAGGGCAAGAGGGAGGGGAAGGGGCAGTCAGAGATAATCAGAGGCTGGCAGAACCTTCTGTCTCCCCAAGCACCCCCTGAGAAGCAATGGGCCCCCCAAAGCAACTGTGGCTTCATGGCTGCCATCTTGGTTGAAGGCACAATAAGCTCAAGGAAGTTCTCAAGGACGTTAAAAGTTCCAGAAAGGACAAGGGCCTCTGGGATATGGGAGGGAATTTTCTCGAAACCTCAGGTGTGTATGGTAAAGCCCTAAAGAAATAATTTCTGAGCACCTAGTGCTTGATTTCATTTCATCCTTAGCACATCCTGCCAGGACAATCTGAATAATCCCACTTTACAGATGAGGAAACTGATGCCTTGAAAGGCACAGTGACTTGCCCTACAGTTAGGGAGTAACAACGCAAGAATTCAAACCCAGATCTGTCTCACCCCAGCACTCTCCTCCTAGACCAGAATGAGATGTACTACAAAATGTGAACCCCATCATAATCTCTGACAAGTAGAATTTCAGGGGTTTCTGGCTTTCTTCTTTACATTTTGCTGTCCTATCCAAATTTTCTACAAAAAGCAAGTGAGACTTTTATTATTAGAAAAAGACACGAGATGTTATTTGGATAAAATAACACCGCAATTCACCTTTGTGTCCATTTGAGTGTCCGAACTGAAGTGGGAGGAGGCAGCTTAGGGTTTACAAGGTCCACTTGGCAGATGGGAAGCTGAGGCTCAGCGAGGGGGTGAGAGTTACCCAAGGTCACATGGTGAGGAGTCGGCAGAGCCCCCACCCCTGGGTGCCCCAGCTCACCACAACCTCACACCCCACCTTGAGGTCCCGGTGTACAATGCCCAGGTCGTGCAGG